CAGTGAAGCACTAAATTTCAACCTTCCAAGCAGCAATGAAGTTCAACGACTTTTTGGTCATTCAGTGTTTACTAGTAAAACTTTTGAAGTCCACTCACTCAAAATAGATTACATAATTTTATGGTCAATGAGTTTATTGCTTTTTAGTCAGATGGTAAAATCAAAGTAGACACACATGTAAAGGTTACAATGTTCATCTTACAGACAGGAAAAGGAATTTTATTCATGCCACTTGAGATTCAAGAGAAATATTAATATTAAATCCCCTCACTTTCAGTGGTCAAAGATAAACTCCAATTCAGGTTTTTAATCCTACTAGTGGAACATATGGAGGCACTGCAGAAAACCATGAAGACTCTACCTACCTACCTCAACTGATCATTACTTTTTAAACTCAAACTAAAAAGAAAGAGATAATCACATATTGTTTTAGAAATGATTATGACACAGAGTTAGAAAAAGGGAAGACATTAGCTTTGTACATAATCAGATGTAAGGAAAACTTAATAGTATTTTCACTAAACTCTATACAAAATGAAATCACCTTCTTATACTTTCCTCAAAAAAATCATGATCCTACTAAAAATACATCTTTTATATCTTTCCAGAGTTTATGAAAACAAGTTCTGATTTACTCCTTTTTCCATGTTTAAATATGGACAATTCACTTTTTGTACCAACCTTAACCTCCTCTGAACCTGAAGTTCCAGCTATACATTCTTTGGCCTTCTGTTCAAATCCACACAACCATTCACTGTAATTCTGTAGGGGGAAAAAGACAAAGTCATCGATTTCAAAAAAAAATCTAAAAGAAATAAATCAAACATTTAAAGTAACTAAAGTAGACAAATATAAAAGAAAACTCCACAGATAACATCTCATTAGAAATATTAAAGAGGCAATGTAACTTTCATAAGTTGAAAATAGCGTAGTCTTGAAATTAAACACTAAAAATATACCTATGCACCACCATCAAAATAAAATTCCTATTTATCCTGATAAACAATATTTGCAACTCAATTCTGAACTCAAAGATAGAAGACCAAGGCTCAAACCTGGCTTCCACCACTTACTAGCACCAGGACCAATGAACTCAATATTTAAATCACTGGAAATCAAGAATAATTAATTTTTAAAAACTTCTTTTCAAATACAACAGTGCTTAAAAACTAAGTACTCTGAATTAAAAAACTGTAAGTTAAGTTTTGCCCAGAGGATTTCAAATTCTTTGATAGCATTTAGGGGTTCCTGAAAATGCTACATCAAATTAAAAACTGTATATTATAAATTATTTTTAAAGTCATAATGAGAAATGACATGCATGTGCAAACAATTCCTCAAATCCAACAAAAACCTCAACTTGTAAGATATGAAGGATAAGAAAATATTTATCTTGAAACATCAAGAAATAAGCTTCTTTGTTATTAGCATAATTTAATAAAATCATTGGCTTTAAAAAGGCTTTTATACATGAAATAAATACTTTATTGCTTCCTACTGCTGTTTTGATAAGTAGATCCCCATGGAGAGATTAAACTATAAAGACATTGAGGTGTGGGAGGTTAACTGACATGAATAACACATATTCTAGTTTTAGACATTATTCTAAATTTCAGAGTAAATTATTCTAAATCTTTCAAGCTTCCTTTGTGAATTTTAAACTCTGATGAAAAGAGTATTTGTTCAACATTACAAATCAAAATTTCTTCTTATACCTTTCTTAAGTCTTCAGTTTAGTTTAACTCAAAAAGGAACACTATGTTTCTGTTAACTCTTATAAAGCATTTTACTTCTGTGGCTGAATTTGAGATGGTCTATCAACAATCAAATAAGAATAAAAATAAGACGCTGAGATCACCCCATAGTACAATACCTTCAACATCACATTGTTTACATAGCTTTTCCATTTTATAAAAGAATGACATTTTCACATTATAAATTTGAACCACAACTCCAAGTATATGATTTAACTTCTACTTAACAGCTTCAAATATTGAGATTTAAAATTAGATGAAAAACTGATTTAATCACTTAACATTTATAAATCTCCCTCACCAAGGTCATATAGTTTAATCTCTCCATGTTAATCTGCTCAGCAAAACAGCAACAGCAAACAGCAAATTAAAAAAAAAAATATCTAATGTATAAAAGTCTATTAATGTTTAGTTTAATGTATTTTTCAGATACAGACAATACGCAGAAGTATTTACACGAACAAAAGCCAAAGAATATCTTTCATGTTTTATTGGTGATTTATAAATTTTTAGTCATTTGGTTATTGTCAAGGGGTTACTACTATTAACAATGAATTCACTGAAATGGACCAAATTATGTTATATGCATCTATGAATATGTCAAAATAAACCCTGCTATTATGTATAACTATAGTACACTAATCAAAACTGAAAAAAAAAATGAAATTGTGCTGGGCACAGTGGCACATGCCTGTAATCCTAGATAGTCGGGAGACTGAAGCAAGAGGATCATATGTTTCAAGGCCAGTCTGGGTAATGTTTCAAAACAAAAAAGGCTGGGTATGTAGCTCAGTGGTAGAGCATTTGCCTAGCACATGCAAGGCCTTGGATTCAATCCTCAGCACCAAAATTTAAAAGAAATCAAAATGAATATGCCACATTTAGAAGAAAATTTTTGCTGTTGGTAGTCTTTCACAATCTTTGAAAATCAGCAACTACCAGTCATTAACTCTCTTGGTTAATACTGCCAAATAAATAAATCTTTAAATTGTATTTCCATTAATAAAGTAGAAACAAAAATAGATATGGCCACAAAAGAAAATTATAAAATATATTCACAGTAAGCCCTCCTTCTAGATTCAATGTAATAATAGCACTTGAATTGACAGTGTATTTCTATGTTTACCCAGGGCTAGATATTTCATCAGTTTATTTAATTGAAACAATTTTATATCACAACAGGAGAAATGCAAGCAATGACTAAATATACAAAATTAAGAATATATTTCTTAATGTAATACTATATTTAAAGGAATTCTTTTTTTAAAAAGAAACACTGTTGTTTGAAAGACTTCAAAATAACCTATGCAGTGCAAGATGGGAGGTAAAACAAGACTGTTTATATATTGATACATGGCATATATTGATAATTGCTCAAGAAGGATATTGGGCTGACTATTCCAGTATCTCTTCTTCTGAACACATAAACTATTTTCATTAAAATAAAAAAGATGTACCCCACCACTTTAAGAAACACGTGCATACTCACTGGACTTCTCTGCTCTCAAATACTTTCTGTGTAATTTTCTGAACCAAATTAACTTTTCTTTCCTACTTAAAACATGTACATCCTTACATAAATCAAGTTGTTTTCTATTTTCTTTAAGATTTTTGCTTGAAGAAGTTAATAAGATGACCAGAATCTTGAGTTTTACAATGTAGAGGTTGTGTTCATAGTATTGAGTACATAAAGAAATAAAATGTTGCTACAACTAAGAAGTAATCACTTAAAATTAAGTTCTACTTTGAGCAAAACCATTAAGAATATTATTGGTTTTATTGACCATTCAGAAACAATTCTTTCCCAGATATGTTTATAATTCTCTAAATTTTGTAGAATACAACAAAAGTTTCAGATGAATATATACATGAGTTGTGAAACAAGGTATCTTTTATAACTACTCAAAAAGCACCCTGGA